GGGGAAGGGGCTGCCCCCAGATGGTGCTTTGCTGCCGAGCGCCGCTGCTCGGGGTCTGCTGGCCTCCCCTCGGGTGGGAGCAAGTTTAGGGTCTGCTCCTCGCTGAGCCCTCGGGGAGCAAAGGGACCTGGCTGGGGTCAGGCATCCTCAGGGGCTGTGTATCCCCTGCAGGATCCTTCCTGCTGCCGGCTGGGGGGATTCAGCATCTGGTGGAGGCAGCGTAGGCAGCTGTGGGGCTGAGAGAGCCAAGGTAAGTCCCTGCCCTGCAGGCCGAAATCGTCCCCAGGCAAGTGATGGGAGGACGGGGTAGCAAGCAGGCAGGGGATATAGCAGGAAGAAGGAGCGACTTTTGTGTCATACAGGTATAGGTAGGATGGGACCATCTATGTCCTGCTGGTCCCTGAACTGAAGCACTTGAAGATGGCAATGTCTTCAGCAGCATCTAGGCATGATGGATGGAGAAAGAGCACCAGTTCTGGATCCTGATAAGAGCAGCAGGTTACCAGGAAGGTACAGGCAGAGTTTTCCTTGGGGGGGCAGTGGCTGCAGCTACTCAGCAGGGCTAGGTGTGGCCTCAAGTGCATGTGGATCCCTCGGCAGGGAGCGTTCTGGCAACAGCTTCCCCGCTCTGCTCACTGGCCAGAGTGTTAAACTGGATCCCATTTAACTTGTTCCCTGAAAATACCCGTCCTTTTCCGTTTGCTTAGGGAGATTCACGAGAGGAGCACAGTCTCTGAGTGGGTGCTTCAGGTGAATGGGGAGGGGATGTGTGCTGAGCCCTGCGTGGCCCTAGGAGGTCGGGGTTAGATGGCTGAGCCAGACGCGTGGAGTCAGGATGCAAGGAAATGGCTGGCGGGTGGAGTGGCCAGTGGGTGCGCCCCATTTGGATATTGGTGTTTCTGGTGTGGTGGAGGGGAGCCCGACAGGGTGACGAGGAGTTGTCACAAAGGAGGGGGCAGCAGCAGCGCCTGGGAGGAGATCAGCCCCTGGTGAGGGCTTGGAGCAGCACTTGGCATAGGAACAGGGTGGATGGGCCTGGGTTACAGAGTGCACCGTGGGAAAGAGACGGGACACAGTTCCTGCTGTGATATGAGAAGGAAGATGAGGTCAGAGGCAGAAAGCGCTCAGATGGCTAACAACCCACTCTGGGCATTTGTGTGGCCCCAAACAGCGAAATGTCCAACGTGTCACTTGCAGGAACTGACTGGCCCTGCTAAGCTGGAGCAGAAGCACGGCTCTGTCTAGACCAGCAGCTATTAAGCTTTCCAGATGAGTACAACTTTGAGCAAACTAGGCTGAGAAAGAGACAGCACCTTTGTTTTTTGCCTGCTACTTCACTGCCCTGCCCTAGAGCTCCCTAGAGTTTGAGTCCACACAGGCTCTTCCTTTTACCTGATGAATGTCTCTGCTCCTCTTCTAGCTGCACGAGAGACAGGGCCAGCAAAGGCAGAGTTGCAAATGGTTACCATTTAATCTATCTGCTCTGTCTGCAGAGGCTGTTAGGTAAAAATGCCAAAAGTGACCAAAGCCTTGTTGACTTTAGGGCTACCACCAGTACAGTAAAGCCATGAGAAACTGCAGAGTATGCAAGAGCGCTAGCTATTCTGGACTTTGTCATAAATAACTTGCTCAGTAACTCTAGCCGCACTAAAGCAGAGCCTGCTGTATAATAATGTTCAGGACCCATGGGTGAGGAAAGTGTTTTTTAAATACAAATGCAGTAGTTATCCTTTATGCAGGGGAGTTTCTCTTTCCTTGAAGGAAGCTTTCGTGGAAAGGCCTCAGTAAAAAACAAAAGTAAACAAAATCCTAGGACTCAGAATGACGACACCTCTACTAGCCATAACCATATCTCATCTGGGATGCACACCTACACCTTGTGCATGCACAGCAATTTGTGAAGGACACTGCGAACCCACTTTATCCTGACGTTCTGTGTGCAGAGATTGAGTACTGATCACAATCGAGGGAAAAGGGGATTTGGTTGCTTTCGAATGTGTCCTTATGTTTCAATTCTTACTGTGGCCACTTTGCAGACAAGGTAAAGGGAGCTGTTCTCCGGGTAAGCTGTTTGTGCCAACCAGGAGGCTGTAGAGATGACTTCTGCCTTATAAGCTCAAGGGGAATTTATCCCTTCCGCTTGCTGGCCAGTAGAGAGGACTTACTGTTGAAAGAAGTAGGCAGAAGAGTATGTTTGACCCATCTCTAGAGGAATCCACGCAGAGGGGCTTGGGGTGGCTGTTAATCCGTAGAAGAATACACCATAGAGATGCCTTGTCCTGAGATTTTCTCACTGTTTGGAGCTGCTGGAGGATAGCACTGGATCCAAAGGAAAACGATTTTCTGTTTTCAATGAGTATCAAGTGCAAAAATGTGCCAGAGTACCTCTTCAGTGTATGTTTGCTTGTTCCGTAGCTCTCTGAAGGTCAAAGTATTAACAGTAGGAGATGAATTTGGGAGAGATTGGCCCAAGGGTGGTTGTTACACACATTACTTTGGATAGTGATCTGTTCCTTGCTGTATGTCCATTTGACGTGCTTCATCCGAGTAGTACCCAAATTTCTGATTAGAACTGCTGAACACTAGCACAGTGCAAGGACTATTTCCCTCTGCTGCAGACGGGATGGGGCTATCAGCATGGGGCTATACAGGAGGCTGCAGATTGAATGAGGGGGAACGGGGTCTGTTCTGAGATGGCAAAAGAGAAGAGACCAATGAGACTATGAAGTGGGGGTGTATGTCTTCCCACTGTTATATTTTTGGTTTCAAGCCTTCCCCTGGCACAGAAAAATGCACATGTGCATCAGAAAGATGTTGAGGTTGTTTATGTTTTAATTTTGGCCTTGTGCCAAGAAGAATGGCTTGGTGACCTTAGCACTATTGGGGCATTATTTATAGAAAGCAGATCTGTTTTTGTGTGTGTGTGTATTTTCAACATAGAAATGTAAAAACAAGTCTTGGGAGGAAAAGACCCAGTGCAGGCCCCCAAATACATGGGGACTTTCTCCAGAGCAACGAAAACAGCACTTAGGAGACGACCAGGTGTTCCCCGTTCACGTGACTTCCAGACTTCTCTTGGAAAATATATTTCTGATTCTGTCCTGTAGATTGCAGACCAGGGAGAGGTCTCTCAGCGTTTGAAGAGTTCTTGCTCAGGATGCTAACATGTTCACAAAGACAAATCCAGCTATAACTGGAGATTGTGTTATAATTCAGACATGAAGGGAAATGATAAATGACTTCGGCCTTCTTCAGTTTCTTTTGTTTGTGAAGCTCTTTGTCATCTGCAAGGGTTAATGCATTTCAGTGTGTTTCACTACCCATCTGTGGCGCTAGTGTGTGTGGCTATCCCCGGATCACAGATAAGAAAATGAGGCTTAGAGATGTTCAGGGTCTTGCTGGAAGACCCACCACCAAGTAGTAAGA